CCCAATATGCACCCCTGAGGGACACCACTTGGAGATCAGTGACATCTGGACATTGAACCTGCACTCAGTCCCACTGTCTGTGTCATTGATGGAGATATTAAAGAGTGCCAGTCCCAATATGCACCCCTGAGGGACACCACTTGGAGATCAGTGACATCTGGACATTGAACCATTGACCACTACTCTCTGGATGTGATCATCCAACCAGTTCCTTATCCAGCAAACAGTCTACAATAACAGATTAAAAATTTTTGCAGCAGTATAAAACCTTCTGTCCAAAAAGAATAATAATTATGTTTAGGTACTACATTTACAACTATGATGTAGGGAAGGCAGTTTTTGTCTGATGTCTGTTTACCTGGTCCCTTGTTTTCCACCTAAGCAAGTAGAGGCATAAGGATTCATATAAACAGTGTAATTGAAAATGGAGTTCAGATGTGTTAGCTGATACCTTCTTTTTGCAGGAAATCTAACTTTCTTCGGTGGTGTATTTGTTTTTTTCGGACCTCTCCCCAAAAAACTAATTTGTAGAAGTGGTATTTTAAGTAGTGTTCCAGAAACTGCAGGGGATAGCCTGCTCAGCTGCTCTCTGTCTTCTCTTCCAGTCTATAAATAGAAGATGCCTCTTCATAGAGGTAGCAATGTCGCAATGATGAACAAGATTTCTGCAAATTGATATTCTACAATTTCTACAAATAATACTTCTGTTTCGTGTCATGCAGGCCAAGATAAGGCTGTTTGTCAAAAGTCTTGGTTTAATTTGAGTGCAAGTGTGTACGCATTGTCCAGATCCAGTGTGTAGAACTCTGCTACTTCTGCAGAGGAGACCTTCATAATGGAAAGGACTGAATATTTATAGGGATAATCAAGATGTCCTTAGTTTATTACATAAGAAAAAAAGAACACCGAAGGCTATGTGTCCAGAGCCCTTTCACTGGGGAGTAAGCAATCTGTTAGCAAACAAGCTTGGGAAGAAACTCATCTTTGGATAGGCAGCTTATACTATTGGAGGCCACCTTACCTCTTCCTCAGGTTTCTGAGACACCACTGTTCCAATGTGATTTGACAGTTTCTGTATTCCTAGATGCATTGGCTCAGATGTTCGCTATCTTGATTTAGGCAAATGGGCCAAGATCTGCCTGGGTATTGCACTTCCATTAGGCAAGTGTCACGAACTAAGGAAAACTTAGATTACATTTGAATTTGGTTGTAGGCAACTTGATCTTTATTGTACTGTGCCAATTTGTTTATAAAAATTGTTCAGCTTCGGTAAAAGCTTTGGGCACCTAATGCAGTCAGAGTTTGTGTTATTTTTCAGCCAACTTTCTAACCTCAGCAGTTCAGAGGTTCCTCTCCCTGAAGTCTATAGACCAGTTGTACTTTGACATCACAAAAAAAACCCCAACCTGAAAAAAGCACTGGAGTGTTTTCTCTCTATCATGAATGTTGTCTTATGCAATATTCATGCACTAAAAATGATCAAGAAAAAGCATGGTGGAGTAGCAGCCGAGGGTGACTTCAAAGTGCTTTGTGTCCTTTTTTACACTGCTTTGTGAATTAACCTTTTCAACTTGAATACACAAATACTGGAAGACCAACATTTGGTCTAGATGCTGGGTTGAAGAGTGTCATTCTGTTACACTGAAGCCTGTGTTGGGCTTAATTCACTGTTCCATTACTTGAGGAAGTGTAACATAACTTTGTGGTAATAAGATGAGGAGCTGCATAATCAGGTCCTATATCAGTTTTAATACTGTTTGCAAAGAATAGGAATATTTGATTTTTATTTTTTTCCCCATCAATCTCTTTCTTTTTCTTCTCAACAGGATCCACTCTGTGTAGCTATGAACTACAGCCATCAGAATACACTACAGACCCAAGGGCCGCCAAGTTATGTCCTAAATATCCTGTTCCAGAGAGGTAATATTAACATCTTGTCTGATTGGGGGTGAAGGGAGCCAAGATCTGTTTTGTTCATGATAGTTCTTTAGAAAACACACAGCACAAATTTACTATGTCTTACAGGTGGATGTTTTAGTGTATTATTGCCACAAGTTTTAAAAAAACATTTTTAAAGCAACTCTCAAAGAAAAATCCAAACTATCCTTGGATGTGTTACTGAGAGTATTGAGCGGGTATCTTCAAGTTCTCTTCTGTCTCATGTAACTGACACTGTGCTGAGTATCAGCTGTTTTACTGCCTTTCACCCTATAGCCAGCTGCCTGTCAGCAGTGCAGATCAGAGGCAATTGCGGAGCACTTTGAGGGGGAAAAAGGATGTATACACATGCAGCTTTCTGCAGTGTTCACTTCTTACACCTTACCTCAGCCAGTCAGATTTAGCAAATTGCTTCATTTTTTTATTCTTTCAGTCCCCAAATGACTAATATGAGGATGGTCAGGTACCAAAAAGAGGCTTGTATTTTATAAACAGATCTCTTTGAGTTGTATCATTTAAAATATTTTACTAGACTGCTTTTTGTGTAGTAGAGGAAAGTTTGTGGCTCCAGAAACTCTGCTGGCTATGCTAGCTGGAACTGGGGAGATAAGCATTGCTGTGAAAAGAAGCTATTTTTTTTGCTGTTGTGCACACCCTTCTGTCAGTAGTTCCACTTGCTCAAGAAGAATCATATGTTTTCTCAAAGTTTAGCTTCTCAAACATACTCAGTAGTGGGTTGTAACTAGTCTTGCCCTATGCATACTTTTCTGTTATATTTCATTAAATGTTATAATTGTGTCAGGTCTGAAAACTTCGATTTTAAGTCACTCTTGTCTGCTTGGTAGCCTCTCCAGTGAATACATTTTTTAGATTGCAGTGACAGTAAGTAGCAGCTGGAATATTAACTTTTTTTTTTTACTTTTCCCCACAGCAGATTAATATTCTATGCAGCTAACCAGCTGTTACAGCTGTAACACAAAAACAAATGAAAACTTCGGTGCCAGCTTGCATACTGAAAAGGCTTGTCAGTCTTAATTTTTGCCAGAATTACACTGACTTTTCTCACTGTGTTCCCATGTCCTTCAGCCTGAATGAATATGACTTAATAAAACAGGATAGAACAGTGTGTCAGAGCTCTAATGACACTATGTAAATTCTGCACAAAAACTACCTCAAGAGTTATTTTTGAAAAGCTATTGTGTAGATAGAGCATTTCCTCCTTTTTTTTAATATTAATAAAATGCTCAATGTGTTTGAATATTTTTCTGAGATTGAAAATTCTGAACTTAAAGCCCTAAAGCAAAAAAGGCCAAAATTGTATCTGTAAACCATTCTGTTTTACAGATTTTTATAGCTAAATTATTTGAGTAAATTAGTGTAATTTGGAGGGGAAATGGAATCCTGTGGCAACAAACAAATGAAAAGCCAGCAGCCTGTAGGCTCAGGGAGAGAGCTGTTCAGGGAGAACTTACCTAACACTCTGGTTTTTAGTTTTGACCTGTCAGAAGTATGAACCATCATCTGACTCCCATTAGGTACCCATGGGATGGAGATAGCATATGTTGTAAGGAGTGTCCCTTGGTATCTTCTGTTTGATGAGCAGGCTTCTTCACACCCTTCGGTTGAGGGTCCACCTCTCAATGGACTCTGATCCTCCAGCTTCAAGATCCGTCAGCTTCAACTCTGATCCTCCACTTTGACACAGCAGTGCAGCCTAGCAATGCGGCCAGGGATACGTGTCTTCCAGAAACTGTGCCTAGCCCATCTCAGCCTCAGCAGGGCATGACTTTGCTGTTTAGTTTTGAAATAGGGGACCCTAGAGGAAAACCTGTCCAGCTTTTCCCTGCAGTGTTTATCAAACAGTTGTGCCGAGGTGTGCCAAGGGGCTGCTCTATAGAGGTTATAAGGAGCAGGTAGCAGTGGCACTCCAGTCAGGTTCCCCACACACAGTTTGCTGTATAAGCACAGGTGTAGTAGTGAGAGGAAAAAGCTCTCCTCTGAAATCTAGTACTTGAACAATCAGATGGGTCTTTTAACTTCATTTGAATATTGCTTTAAAAATAGAATTTTCAACATCATCATCTGCTGGCTTGACCTTTACTTGCTCTTGTTCATGACTAAGTATCATGCTGTTATTCTCAAAAACATAATTCCCTTTTGGTATGTAATATACCAAGTTATAATCAAGAGGTTATTTTACACATATAAAATAACCACATATTTTATCTGTGTAAAATAGTACAGGTCCCTGAGACTAGATCTATTATTGTGGTTTTTATTAAAGATGACACCTTACGTCGCCCACTCATTCAATCAGAACCACTGAAATAGCAGCAGATCTCAAAAGGTGGATTCTCAGGAGTCCTATTTACTCAAGAAATCTTGTAAGAATCACTAACCTCTTTTTTTAATTAATTACAACAAAGTTAGAAATTAATTATTGCACATGAAAGTAGGTAACTTAGAATGTGTAGTGAAATTGCTGTAGCTTTAGGGGATGTTAGATGGGTAGTATAAACTCTGGTGTGCAAAAAGCCTTTTTTCCGCTGTTGGGGTGTATTTTGGAACAGTATTTTAATCCCATTAGCTTCTCTTTTCAAAATGGGTATTTTTGTTTTTGGATGCAGAACGACAGTCTTTTGCCTACTCCCAGCTCAGAATTTGTGCTTTGTTGTTGATATTGACAGCTTCTAAATGCTCTAGGCGTTCTGCAAATTTAGAGCAGTTAACAATTAAACTAACCTCTTAGATTTCAGTATTTTCCAGTATTACTGCATATAATGAACTGTAGCATGCTGCATATTCCCAAACAGGCTATGTTGTAAGAGGCTGAGAGGATACACAGGCTGCCTCTTAAATAGGGCAGCCATCATTATGGGTTTAGTTTGTTTTTTAACGGTTGTAACTAATTCGCTGTACTTAACTGCTGTCTTCATCACTACCTAAAAGTAGGCCATCAATATGAGCATCTCCAAATGCATTTACCTACTCAGCACAGTAGGTTTAAAACCATGTAATTTACAATTGTCGGTCACTTCAAACAAAAACCTAGGATCTATTAATTACCTAGGTATGGCAGGTGATCATAATTTCTCCTGAATTCTGTGCAGAATAATTACACACTAATGGTTTTCAGCATCTCATCTTTTTTTCTCCAAAAACAATGCATAGAAAGGATGTGCCTACAGTAGCTGGTTTATTCACTATGTGTTTAAAACGACAGTTAGAATTTTGGAAATGCTTGGGCTTAACAAATAGTTATTGAGTACGAAAATTGCTGGTTTATAGGTCATTGCTGAAATGGGGAAACTGCAAAAAGGTTTTGTGCATTGCTGCTACAGTCCACTGAAATCTTTTAAGTCAGGAAGATTGGGGAGGGTGAAACAAATTTAGAGTTTAGAAGAAGAGACTGACAATATGAAGGACATTTCTTTCACTGACTACAATTACAGGGAGGAACATTGTAATTCATGGAACATGTGGCTGAGGTGTAATTGGGAAGATTGATCAAAAGATGTAATAGGCCACTTTGAGATCAGACATAGTTTATGAGCCAGAAAGGCAGCTACTTAATGGAAAACATTTGGAAAATGAAATTACCCGCTTCTAAAGTGAAGTTTTTGCTTTCTTGTGTCTTCTTCTGATGAACTTGATAATGGGTTCTGCTCAGCATTCTGCAAAGTTTAATGCATAGCATCAGGATTTTTGGGGAGGATGCTTCCAAAACAGTTCAGGAATAATGAAAGAATAGATGCATTTTTGCATGTTTTACAAAGAATGTAGTACATAATTTTAACAAAGTTAATGAGAGAAAACACTGTGATTGTAATCTTAAATATGTGAGCAAGCTTAGTATGGGGAAGGACGAAGAATAAATCCATCGGCAGCAGTTCTTAAGTGCTGATGCCTTTTAGCACGACATGTATGCTTGCAAGAAGAGTATCGTCATTCTGGGATTACTTTTGCTGCAAGCATGGTCCAGTATTCCATTCTAACACAAGTGAAAGGCATTGTTTCAGCTGCTGGTTCACCACCTGACACTTCAAGGAGAGATGGTTAAGCGGAAATAGGAATATGTATTTTCTGAGCCTTGCTGTTTAAGGGTGGGAGGGTAATAATTTCCTATTGGACTGTGCACTCCAGCCTCACAGGATTACTTGTAAGAATGGCATCACTTTCCATTATGATCATCCTCATTCCAGCAGCACTTGTGCATTCAACACATGGTTTCTGGTTATGATGTTATGAGGGTGGAGTGGTTGCATCTATTCACCTTTCATTTGTGTGTTGATGTGGCATTTATATTAAGTAGGAGTAATTTTTTTTTCTGATTTTTTTTTCTTGTGTCACCAGTGCACCTATTCCATTCTTCCATCGCTGTGCTCCTGTGAACATTTCCTGCTATGCCAAGTTTGCAGAGGCCCTGATCACCTTTGTCAGTGACAGTAGTGTCTTACACAGGCTGATTAGTGGAGTTATGACCAGCAAAGAGATTATAATGGGACTTTGCTTGTTATCACTAGGTAATTGTTTTTCTCATTACTAGCTATTTCTTAGTACTGCATTAGGAGATTGTTAACACCCTCTAACCACAATATGATAAAAAAAAAAATGTATGATAGCAATGAGCCCTTATTCAGAATGCTTTTTTAAAATGTTATTTGACAGCTGGATAAGTTATTCAGAAGCAATATACATATGCATTCCTGTTTTTTCTTCTCTTTCACTGATTATGAGATGTAGAGGATGTGTGGCAGTTGCTTAGCCAACATTGGTTTTGGTATAGTTAACAGAACATCCCCATTGTCCTAATTTTTATTCACCTTTCCCTTCTCTAATATCAATCTTCTGCTAACTCAAATCCAAATAAACCTTTTCTAAATAAAAAGGACAGGGTGAGAAGTGCACAACAGCACACTCTTCTAAAATGTAGGGGGTTTAGTTTGTTTCATTTAACATATTTGTGCAGGGATATGGGAACTTTCAGAGGGAAAACAAGAAAATTAGGTGCCCATTTGTTGTGTTGTATGTTACCTCCTTCCTCCCCTTCCCCCAAAGTTAAAAACTTCAGGCTTTTGAAAATCTCAGCCTCGTATGAAGAGCTGGAAATTCCCATAATTTCTACAGTTGAGATACCCCTGGCCTATAGAGTGACAGCACTAGACTGATGCTGTTTTAACAAATTCTTGTGAATTAAGGTGGAATGCTACTCACCCACATAAATTATCTTCATAATGAGTTTATTTTACTCCTACCAAGTATAAAATCTGAAATCCTAAAATGGGAGTCTCCAGATACTATCCTATGTATACAAATAGTGTGTGGTTTAGAAAAAAGCACTGCCAAGCTGTACCAGATAAAGAAATCCCTTGCTTTCAGTCTGCCTTTGCTGTTTCAAAAAAAAAAAAAAAAGAGGATGCTAGGTAACATTAAAAAAAATAATCTAAATAAAACATGAAAGACCATTGAGTATCTTGTCAGCTATAACTGGAAAGCTGTTTATTCTTGTATCTGGGCAGCTGCAGTATTTGACAAGAAAGGTGGAAAGACTGTTCTGAATCTGAAGGCTGGTGGCTGATTAGCAGTGCTACTGTTGGGTTAGAGTCAGAAGTTAGTACAGAGTTTTACAGACAGTTAATTTAAAAAATACTTTGCATACCTTCATAGTTAAACAGAATTTATTTATTTTTAAATAATGGGTAAGATTGTGTGATTCAGAAAGCCAGGTTCCAATGGTTTTCATGTAACTGCTGTTCACAAATAAGTATATGCAAAAATATGTGCATGCACTTACACACACCACTCACCAAATCTTAGTTGGCTGAGATTGTAGAGGGCTTTTTAACATGCAGTTCCTGAATGGCAGGGGAACTACATGAACAAAGCTTGTTAAAGAACTCATTTTGAATGCTGAAAATAAAGTAGTGATTTTTTTACTTTTTGCTGGCATGACATTTTGGAATACACAGGTGTCACACTATCTGCACTTGTTTGACAAGTGTATTTGAGTGCAATTTCTGCTCTGTTCTTCAGGAGGTGTGCTCATGTTACCAGACTCAGAGTACTATCATGTCTTGCTGTCTGTTTTGTCATTGTCTAAATACATCTCTGTCTGTATGTACACACTATGTCTTGTATTTAATGTACCACGTAAGTGTATTTATGCTCTCTTTGTTTTAATGAGCAGTATCAAAGCAGAAGGTGTAGAGATGCATAATTTCCTTAACTGTCTGTGCAGTGAGTTTGTAAGCCTCAGAAAACAAATCTCTATCAAAACTGCCTTCTGACAGAAGTTTATCGTAGTACACGGGGAGAGTTAGGAAGGCTATTGGTACTTGAAATGATTGCTCTACTTATTTTATTTATCTTCTTTTGCAGTGTTGTCCATGATTTTGATGGTTATAATCAGGTACATTTCAAGAGTACTTGTCTGGATTTTAACAATTCTTGTCATTCTGGGATCACTTGGTAAGTCTTGTTTGTCTCCCAGCTTCTGAGTGCTGTCTCCTGGTTTTAATCTTTGTGCTCCATGTCCTCAGGCCAGCAACATCCTGCACAGATCTTGGACCATGCATTTCCCTTCGGCTTTCCTTTGAGTCACTTGCAAGACAAATGTCAAAAATGCTACCTTTGTAATTGCAGTCCTTTCCCAGAGAGTATGTTTCTCCTTAGAGATTTGGTGCACTCCCAGCTTGGCTGGCAAGCTTTCTGTCAGCCTGTCTCACTAGAGCCCACATAGGCAGTACAGTACAGGGTATTCCTCACTGTACTTGTAGCATAGCCCTAAACATCGCCTACTTCTTAACCTGCCTTCCAAACATGTGAGCAAGACAGCTGGTCTCGCTCTGTCTGATGGCACACCCACCCATTGGACATACTCATGCGTGCAGGAAGAAAAGGACAACTACTGTTTATGCAGCCTCAGGGGACTCTTAGGATGTAGATGTGTCCATACAACCCTGAAAAGTTCATCAACCCCTTCAGTCCTCCAAGTAGCTCCAGAGGTGTAGTTAAGATCTGTTCTTGAATAGGGGAAGCGAAGGTGCTTTTCTAGCATTTCTAATCAAACTCTTGTATTTCCATATGACTCAAAGTCCTGCATGAGCTACGTCATGTATGAAATGCAGCCAGCCATGCCATCTTGGGAATGGCCAAAGATTGTCTCACCGGAAATGATTTAGCTTGCATGAAGATAGCCTTGCTTTATCACATTAACTTTTACATTTGTAAAGCTGAAGTATTCTATTATGATATTCAGTAGCAAGGCCAAAATGTATGGGCAGATGACTGTAGGGAAGGAGCAAAAATAGAATAATTAAATTAGGAAGTACTAGCAATTTGGTTCTTGCAATGCATGACTGCAAGGGCTGGGAAAAAATCAGCAGACCATCTATGTGTTTTCATGATCACTTGTTTTTGCTCCTTACTGTTCACAGGATCTCTGACCACAGACAAGGGGGAAGAAAATATATTTTTTTTTTTTCACTTGTATTCTCTTTAGAGGCTGAGCAACTATGTTGAGTGAAAGAGTCGAATGATTTATTGTCATCTATTATTATGTTCTAAAAAATCGTATCCATTACACAGACTGAATAAGAATATGTCTTTTCTGAGACATACTTCTTATTTGGTATTCACTGTTTGTTTAGGAGATGCCAAAAGACCATCCTCCATTTTAGACCTGAATGGAGTACTTTCAGCAAAGGCTTGGGATCTCTAGATAAGCTTATGCTGCTGATTGAGAAATAACAACAGAACAGAGAAGGATACTCAAAAGAGATACTCAAAAGCCTCCCTGAGAGGCTGGAGTCTTGTATTTAAGAAATGTTCTACCTTGGAAAGGTAGTTAGAGTATGAGAATGAAAATCTGGCCATAAGGCTAGGATTTCATAACTGGGGTTAGAAGAAAGTACCTCACACAATATTGGTCTCCTGAGACTTTCAGTGATGTTTTTTCAAGTGCCCAAAAGATATTGCCTGATGCAGGTGTAGCTATGTGTCGTTAACCTGAGGTGCTGCTTTCAGTATCAGGACTGTTCCTTCTCTTCTCGATTAGTCTTCCCAGGAGTTGTAGACCCTTCTTCTGTTCCTCTTGTTCTTTTGCATCCGAATCCAAAAGTCCCTCTCTGTTCCCCCTCCTAAATTCTTACTCCCTACCATGTTATACGCACGTATAGATATGTCCTACTGTATAACTCTTTATTCTTTTTGTTTCTCTGTTGCCTGTCTAATGGGAGCTGTGATCTTTGCTGTTAGGGCTTCCCATTAACTAGTCGTCTCGTGTACTTTGCCTTAAAACACAAAGAGCTGCAAGTCTCTTAAGTGGTCATAGCGGGGTGAGACTGTGAAAAGAGTATATCCATTTGAGAAGAGGTCCCTTCTCCATCATCAGAACCCTTGAGCATTCTGTACCAGACTAGAATTAAAAGAAGAAACTGTTCAGTTCCTCTGGTACTAGGCTGTATAACTGTTACATAGAAAGAGCATCTTTCAGTTATCCCTCTTTTTTTTTTTTGTTTCTAAAACATAGGTGGTACAGGAGTCCTGTGGTGGCTCTATGCTAAGCAACGAATATCTGCCAGTGCTATTGAGACTCAAATAGCCAAAGACAATCTTCAGGCTCTTTTGATCTATGCCATTTCAGCTACAGTCTTCACGGTATGCTTTGCGAATACCTATATTATTTTATTTTTCTATCATCCTGGTTGTCTCTGTTTTTTTATTCAGGTGAAAGGTTTGTATTGCATACATTTTTGAAAAGTTTATTTCTACTGCAAGCTCTGTTGCAGTGACTTTTTTATGTTTTTTTGTTTTTTTTTTCTTCCAGACATTGTTCTGTAATATCTGTTTTTGAGTCAGCAGAGAGTTCCTGACCCTGCAGCTACTCTCCTCTACTGTAAAATGTCCACAGGGACATCCATGAATTGGTGCAATATTAAACTCCCAATCCAGTTTCACTTAAGAGGTTTTTCTTAGGTTCCTAGTTCAGAGGTACTTCATCATTTCAGTTTATTTGAAAGTCCTTAGACCATTCCTACTTCTGAAATCAGTTGTTCCCACACTTTTTCCATTTAGAGAAGGATCATTGTGAACTAAAATACTAAAAACTATTACAGAACTAGTTCATCTTCATCAGGCCTTGTTCTTTTCGGAGTTACTGGCTTTACTACTAAAAATTGACAGTGTTTGTCTAACTTGTAAGTCCACCATACCATGCCCAAACATAAATGTTAAATTGTATTCTTTGTTAAATCTTGCTGATTTCACTGGTTTGTGAAACATAATTGAGGACAGTATTTGGTCTAATCTCATAAACCGGAGGCTGATGATGATTCCAAATTCATAATTATGAGATTAGAATTTCCCAGAAGTATAATTTGGAAAACAATTTTTCAGCAGAAGCAGCTGATAGAGGTTTTACATTTTGATCTTCTGATCTTACAGATAGAGCATGTGTTAATTTGCTGTGTTTGAATAGCCTACCTGTGCCAAATGAGAGCTTGCTTATTTTTCAATTATCTAAAATGTGATTTGGAAAATTCTCTCTCTAGGTTATCTTGTTCTTGATAATGTTAATTATGCGCAAACGAGTAGCTCTCACCATTGCCTTGTTCCATGTGGCCGGCAAGGTCTTTATTCACCTGCCGCTGCTAGTCTTCCAGCCATTTTGGACATTCTTTGTGCTTATCCTCTTCTGGACATACTGGATCACAGTCCTGCTTTTCCTTGGTACTACAGGTAAGCAGCTACCAGGCTTATTTTAAATAAATTCCACTTCATTTTTGTATGATTTCAGGCAGAGTTGGTTAGAAAGCATGTGGAGATCTCTAGAAAAAAACCAACATATATTATGCTTCTGTTGTTGTCTGCTTCAGTGACTTCAAAACACTTGTTTCAAGAAAGTTGTTGTGCATTTGAGTCTGCATTCCCAGGATGTTACTTTTTGCCTTAGGCCGGCATTTTGATTTGATGCAAGTTGGCATGTTGCAAACCACAAGGCTCCATTAATAAGACTACTATAACAGTTTTTCAAGTAATTCCCTCTAATTTTAATCTCATAAGGTATTGTATTTTAGCCAGTACTCACAGAGATGAAGACAGAGCAACAAAAGGGCCGTTGTACACATTTACTGTCTCCCAAATTGTAAATGTACTTAAAATAGTGTTAAGTTGTTCATAACTTAGGTGTCTACTATTATTTTGGCATTTTCCAGGATTATTAAGGAGATTTTTCTGTTGTTTGCACACCATATTCTGAGAGCAGCCAATGTACTTGAATTTCTGCCTGCTGTGAAGCGCATATAAGATGAGAGCTTTGTTTGTGTTCAGGGTCTGACAAGAGCTTCTGCAATTAGTCGATCCTATACGTTCAAGTCTTAGTTACTTCAGCAGAGAAACCTAGCAACTGATATTTAAAATGGGAGATGTCTGTGTTATTTTGCAGTAAGTTGTAGGCGATAGAGACCATCATTCATTATTACAACCTTAAAATTTTGAAATTTATTGTTTACTGCTGATTCAGAAGTGGCAGTGTTTCGGGTCACAGAGCTATTTCAGGATAATACAAGATAAATATTTTTTTATTTCATAGCCTGAATTCTTAGCAAGGGATGGAGGTAATAGAATTGACATGTTCTTGTTCTCATTACTATAGAAATTCTTAGTTTTCATTACCTGCTGTGCCATGTGCAGAAAATGCTCACCTCTGAAAGTGAGTTAAGTCTCAGTCCCACACTTCACTCTGTGAGTTAAAGACTGCTGCACAGGGACTAAATTTGTAGCAGAATTTAGGCTGATGTTATATTTTTCTGACAGAACTGTTCGATTGGCCTTGATCCTGCGAAGACTAATTTATGCTTTTAGCTTTACATGCACTCAATATCTTCACTGATACCAGTTAAACAAAATCTTTGTGCAAATAGGGCCAGATATTTTCAATCCAAACCAGGAGAATTGAGTACGTTATTTTTGTATGAGAAGGAGCCAAGCCTATACTTATGAAGAGCTTGTTCACTAAAACCAAAATTATTTCAACAGTTCAATTTACTCACAAGAAAATACTAACTTTTTATGTAAGCGTAAAAGCGTAGCTGAGAAGGTGGAGAAGGTCCTATCAATGCTAAGACTAAACAATGGTTTTCAAGGTAAGCATTTTATGCGCGTCATGTTACTTACAGTATTTTTCTGAATCTTGTCAGCTGTTCACGTAACTCTTGTATGAGATGAAACATCTCAGTGGTGGTTAACACATTGAAATAGAGCTTATCCTAGGAGGATTCTGACATGTACTGTTAGTCTCCACACATGATACCACTATTCAGATGAGGAAAAGAGTCAGCGGATTTCTGAACGTATGAAATCATGTGTTTAGAATCTCTAAAGCTGCTCCTTATGTCTGTAAATACATGCACAAACACCTACCATAAGGAAAACAAAGATGATTGTTAATGTTGACATCCAGATGTTAGGAGTTACGAAGTTTAATATTGATTCTGACTGTATGAATAGTATCAACAGAGCAGCAGACTGAAATTAAGAATGACTAAAGCAGGCTTTTATTATGTTTAATTATTTGAAGGTAGTTGGTTTTGGAAGTTTTCACCAAGTGGCTATAAATTAAAAGAAGTGTTGCAGGATTTTGAGTACACTCGGAATTTTTTTTTAGTTCTTTTTTCAAATGCCAATATACTGATTATCTCAAAAAGCTGTGTCTTATGAACAATCTCCCTAACGTGACATTTAGTAGTGTTAGTAGAAGCTAGAGAGGTTCTGCTGTAGACAGTTATGAACTGCTAACACCATATGCACATTGATGTAAGAACTTCTTTCTGTGTTGATGTAAGCACCATTTCCTTTTTTACCTTTATTTATTTCTAGGTAGTCCTGTCCCAAATGAAGAAGGATTTGTTGAATTTCGGATGGTAGGCCCTTTGAAATACATGTGGTGGTACCATGTAGTGGGACTGATCTGGATCAGCGAGTTTATCCTAGCTTGTCAGCAGATGACAGTAGCAGGGGCTGTTGTGACATACTATTTTACAAGGTAAGGACAGCTTAGACAGCTCTACTGTGAGCAGCCTAGACATGGAATTAACAGAAATAATGAGGGACACAACTTTTGGAGAAAATACTTGCTTCCGTCCTGAAAGCTGGAGAGCAGTTGAATTGTATTGACTCTTTTAAAATCATGTCAAGTCCTAAAATAATCTGTTTTGCTGATTAGAGATGGTATTCTTGGTATTTAGGACTTGAAATCTTGTTTGCCTCGTAACCTGTGCACATTGTATGGACATGGACGATTGTTTACACAGGAGAATGCACCTGTAAGGTCATCTGTCATGCTAATAATTAATTCTGATAAGCTCAGTAGACATAAAAAATATTGAAAGCAATTGATTATTATTTTAATTGCAAAACAGTGCCCTTTAAATTACTTACAGTAATCTTTCTTACACTTAAGGTGTTACTAGAGTAGATTCTGATTATGTTCAAAGAAAAAATGATACAAAATGTGTGCACAGTAAAGCTCTATACTTCATTGTTGTATTTGTGTACTAAGTTGTGTATCAGGGCATACTTTACACTGGCTATTCTGCATGTATCTGCTAGCTATTCAAGAAGACAATACTAATTATGAAGCAATGGTTTTACCAACCTTCAGGCACAAGAATTTTGCTTCAGAGACACAAGAAGCTGATTTCAGAATCACAAACTTAGCTTTGAGTATTTAGTCTCTAGTATTTGAAAACTTTTCTGAAATTGCAATTCCTTAAAATTTCCTTTAAATAAGTGAAAATTAAAGTTATGGTTTTAGCCACTTAGGACCCAGGTTTTTCAGGGGGGGAAAAAAAAAGGTATCAGATGCTTTGTTAGTATTTCATGAGAAGAAATGGTACTTCAGTGATCTAAAGTATTACATTTTGGTATGTAGAGCAGAACTATGGCAATATTTTTGGTAAGGAAGAGTTTGGAAAGTATGGTTTAATGAAGCTTCTTCACATGTCATCCTAGATCACGTCATCCTAGTTCATGACACATTTCTTCATCCCTGCCCGCCAAATGCCACGTCATTGTTCAAGAACTAGATGAGTAATTTTATTTCAGATGTTCTCAAAGTCTTTTTCAAACTATATAAATAAAACTCCTCTGGAGAAAGAGCAGCATGAGTAGAAGATGTTGACAAAGTACTTAGCAGTGGTAGTTTACTTAATGAAGGCAAACCAGTATGTTGGAGTGATGCTAACCCCAGGAAGTATCCTAAATACACATGTAGTTCAGCTGATGGTTTTCAGTATGTGTTTTAGCCTTTCATATGAAGAATATTTTATATAAAAATTTCTAATGATATACAGCAGCCACTGTCTACTCTTGCCCTGTGCTTTTAAGAGTCTGGTTTTTTAAAACTTTTTTTAATAATGCATGCAGAAATTTTTCAAGTGCATGATTCAGATCACAAATGTTTAATTGATTTGTCTTTTTAATCGAGACTGTTATCTGAATTACATTTGACTCCTTATCTGCCCTAGTCTTTAAAACAATATCAAAGGCAAGGAATTAATTTACTGTGCTGACAGAAATTCTGTTACTTTATTAATTATTAAGTCCTCCAGTATACCAATGAAATACATCTGTGAAGTTATTACAAGACACTACAGGGATTGAGTAACGAACTAGGAAAATACAGAGGAGAGAGGATAACTTCGCATTGAAATAGATCACTTAGCAATGTGTAAGCTTCATCTGTAGGTTTATGTGTTTTCTATCACCTGAGTGTGAAAGATTTTTCTTTTAACTGTACCTTATCATTCCATAATAGGAATTTTATTTTAAGTTAGTAAGCACCCATTTCTCCCTACTGTTATCCTTTTCTGAATTTTGAGGTACAGTTACAATCTGAAAAGTGACTTAGTAGGAAAGGAAAGGGCATTAATTTGGACTCCCCCATTATTTTGCGTATTAGCAGCTTTGTACAGCAAATGAGGTGAAGTTATCTATGGAGAAATGTTTTATATATGTTCACTGTTCATTCACCTTAGCTGCATGGATTCCTTTCAACTCAGGCAATAACAGACCTCAGGGTGTTCTGCATTACAGACTCTGTCCTCAGTTACATTTACCTCAAAAGGAGGAAGTGGTTGGGTTGCGTAGGTGTAAGGCTCAGACTTTTTATGTGATTGTGCCCAAGAGGGAATAGAATTTGGCTTCTCCCCCCAGCCCCCAGAAGAAAATATGGGTAAACCTGTTTGAATCATTAATAGCTCAGTATTAAGTTGCACAGATGTTAGTTTCATGGAATGAAGACTCTACTTTTTTATCTTTTTGAATTAAACTCACATGAAGATAACTTTCTCCCAAGCTGAGGAGATATTTTATGTTTGGAATGTTAGCATTTGTTCCTTTACTATGCTTAGTATTATGTTAATATTTCTAATAAAGAAGAAGAGACATTCTTTAAATGTTGAATAAAGCTGTTCTTGGAGAGAGAAATAGAAATGGCTTCCTTGGTAGAAAATATAAATAAAAACTTCAGGAGGGAGTTGCTTCAAAACTGTGAAAGTGAGTATTCATCTGATAGATTAAAAATATTCTAGCGACTTTGCAATAAAATGGCTTGTTTTAAGGCGTAATACTTGGTTACTTGAGGATATAATAGCTAAATCAGAAGTGCAAAACATCTGAGAAAAGAATTTACCTAATAAATAGCAATAGCAATATCCTCTCTAAGTCTCCACAAGGACCTCCAATAGAACAGGAGAGACAGGGAAGGCAAGTCTATCAGTAGTCTGACTGAAAAATGTTACCTTGCTTCCTCATTTTTTGGAAGGTTTGAATTGCACACTATCAAATGTATAGAAACTGCTAGTTGGGGATAGCAGTAATGCAGCCAACTGCTAGTAAGATTATCCTTAAGACACACTGATTCCTTATCCTATTCCTATTACTGCATTAGAGTGACTTGCACAGACTGTTAGTGTGGAGTGAACAATATGCACTGAAAGCTAGTACAAGGATGATACATTCCGTTTGCACACCAGTTATTGAGAATTTGTAGTACTTCCAGATGATACTAAATACATATTGGTCATTCTACTTGGTTCTTTTTCTCTTTTCAACAGGGAGAAAAGGAATCTGCCATTTACCCCTATTCTGGCATCTGTTAATCGGCTTGTTTGTTACCACCTAGGAACAGTGGCGAAGGGGTCTTTCATTATCACACTAGTGAAGATACCACGGATGATTCTTATGTATATTCATACACAACTCAAAGGAAAAGTAAGAGAAATAAATTCCATTTTATTACTGAAACTCAATGTCTGACGTGTTTACAGCTAATTTTAATTTAATCTGTGTCAGGCCTGGAAGTCTTCTTCTGGAATATTTGGACGGTAGGACTGAGAGGGACTGCTTAAGTTACCAAGCTAAGTGTCAGTTGGTGAAACATACAGCAGTATTTTTTCTTAACATCTGTTGGTTTTACTCTTTGTCTTTGTTTTCCCACACTCTGTGCTTTTGTAGGAAAACGCTTGTGCTCGCTGTATGCTCAAAGCCTGTATCTGCTGCCTTTGGTGTCTAGAAAAGTGCCTGACCTACTTAAATCAGGTGAGATTTTCAATATTCCAAGTTTTATGTAAGGACTGATAATGTGTGTGATTCCTAGAATGCAGTCTGAGGCTGAAACATAAGATATCATACTTTGGAACTGGACTTCAATGAGGGTACATCAGTCTTGTCTCCATTACTGAAATTACACTGCAAATCACTACATTAGTCTTTGTTTACCTTGTAAGGTGAAAAATAGCTTGTTTAGTGTTTGGAGATGTTCCTCTTTATGTCCACTCTGTCAAACTACATCTGAGTTTCAAAGGAAGTTCATTGTGAAAAGAGAATTAAACTTTTCTAGGTGTAATATTTAAGGTTCACACAAATGAAAAACTGTACATAACATCAAAAGGTGTCATCATCTACAAAGTGGAAGAGGAGTTGCAAATCGCAACACACTATCTGGTCAGGCCTCTTTGTAAAAGAGATTTTATTCGCCTGTGGTTCCACCTCTAAGTACATCTCTCAATATCTCTCTAATACACCTTTCACCTTTTTTTTACTTTTTTGCTTGTGGAAATACAGAACTAAAAGCAGAAGGCAGCATTTAGAAAAGTCCGGTATAATCCTTGAAAATTGTCTTGGCTGACTTTGAATGCAGTCTAGTGAAGGATCTAGAAATTGTCTTTGTGGACTTGTATGACTCTCAAACTGTCTTATATTTCCAGAATATTTTTTCAAACTATTTAATTGCTGTAGTTATGCCACTGCTCACCACCTCCTGCAGAGAAATTGCAAATTCTGTTTAATTAGGTTGTTGGAATAAACTTGTTAGTGCATAAATGATGAGCAAGGGAGCAGAAGAATAGTAATTCTTTACCTCATATAGTCTTCTGTCGGCTGGTACATACTGCTTGATTCAACCTCTCAAGGGAATCTTTGTTCATTAACGTCATATGACTTAATGTGACTTATTGAGAAGTTGTATCTTCTCTCCTTTCTTCCTCCTTTCCTTCTGAAATATCTGATCATTCCATGAGTAAATCTTCAATCTGCTTTTCCCAGAACGCATATACAGCCACAGCTATCAACAGCACCAACTTCTGCACCTCAGCAAAGGATGCCTTTGTTATTCTAGTGGAAAATGCTTTGCGAGTGGCTGCTATAAACACAGTTGGGGATTTTATGCTGTTTCTAGGAAAGGTATGTCTGCTATATACAGTTGTTACTGACCTACATAATAGCAAGTTTTCCTTAATAATGGCTTGCGTTCCAGATAAAAAATACCTTCAAATTCCTGTTTCTTAACATGCACTTTATCACATCGAGCTGCATCATATGAGGAAGGGACTGTCCAGGATAGGGAGGTTAAACAGCTGACCCACTTATGTTAAGTGAAAGTGATCAGAAAGGATAGCTGAAGATGATGACACCTTTAGCATGAATTTATTTTTAGGCAGAGAAGAGAAAAGTGATTATTAGAAATTTAGAGGTTTTGATTGGTTTTGTGGTTAAGAGCTAGAATTGTAAGGAAAGGAAGCATTTCCTCTAAATTCTGTTCAGTGAGGGCTCTCCAGGTTTATGCTGAAAACTGGCACATTATTAATCACCATTTATGACAAAATTGGACTGGAAGGTAGTGTAGGAGCCTGCTATGAGGAACTTCCAGCTTGGACTGAACTGTCTTCCATATTACACTTCTCTACTTGTATTCACTCAGAGTGCAGTGGGCTGAACTTTTAAGCCAGTAATTAAGTCAATAAAATGTGAGACAAAATAAATACATAATGAAGATACAGGTGCTTGGGAGACCATGAAATTACATAATGTGGCTCTATGGAGGTGTCTGAAAGGTGCTACGAAACATCTCCCTGAAAAAACGTCTTTCAAACTATTAGTGAAATGCATAAGTGACAGAAATGTTGACATGAACAGTGCAGCATATGAAAAATAGTATCGGCTAAAACAGTGCTAGGCTACCAGCCTGTCTCCCTTATTAGTGCAACCCAGTCTTTTCATAATATAGTAAAGCTGGCCTCTTTTACACTTTTGTGTTTAGCTACAGTTCATAATAACAGATTCAGAAATGTTAAATATGTTGAATAGCTACAACAATTGTTTTAGTCCTTTTGTTATGCCCAAAGGCCAAACTGCTACCCACTGAAATATCTGTTAGGGCCTCACACACAGTATAGTTCTGTGGAGACCGTTACATGACGTGCCTCACATGAATTCTGATGTACTTTACCTGTACGGAGATGAGACAGAGATGCGACAAGCTTGGAAGGTGTTTCTGCCAGCAAAATAAAAACATATCATCCCCACAAGACCTGCCTTGCCCCCGCCCTCTCCCCATGTCATTTATGCTCAGGGATATGGGGAATCCAGGAGGTAAAGATGTCATTACCACTAGCATCTGCAACCCCTAGTTCTAGCCCTGGCAGAGCAAGAGTCACACAGGTTAAAAAACAACAAACCAAACCAAAACAATCAAAAGCCATTAGAGTTGTCTTCTGTTTTCTTCTTTAGGTCCTGATTGTCTGCAGTACAGGTTTGGCTGGGATTATGTTGCTGAATTACCAACGAGATTACACCATCTGGGTGCTGCCACTCATCATTGTCTGCCTCTTTGCATTCCTGGTTGCTCACTGCTTCCTTTCCATTTATGAAATGGTTGTTGATGTACTTTTCTTATGTTTTGCCATCGATACAAAATACAATGATGGGAGCCCTGGGAGGGAATTCTACATGGATAAAGTTCTCATGGTAAGTTTCCCTTTGCTCTCTAAGGCTAAGGATATGGTTTCATAAGATGGGAATATGGGTGTTTTGAGAGTGGAGTGTACTCACTAGCTGAGTTTAATACTGTAATTTTTTCTACCTGAGTTACCTTGCTGTCCTGTTCATGGCTTGATCAGCAAACAGTGTGGTCTGATGAGCATCAGATAAGTAATGATGCATCCATCCCTTGACATTGCTGGTGTTGGCTTCTGTATGCCGGCTGTGACATGAGGAGTTGTCTTGCAGAGTCATACCTTTGGGTATCATTTCTTGTAAATGATACACTCCAGAATGGGAAGAAGCAAAACAGGGGGTAATGGCTTGATTTTTCTACTTTCCTAAGAGGACCTCTTTTTGGGATGTGGAAGAGGAAAAATATCAGAGTATTCTACCCCAAACACAGATAGTGACCACACTGGAGTTTTTCTTCTTTCAGATAGAGAGGAACTAAAATTTGCTTCTCAATCTGTCATGCACAGAAAGAACAGATACTACGTTCTGTCCTGGAGCCTAGATGCAGCGTCAAGGCCATTTGCACAGTTCAGTTCTTATTTGTTTGTCCCATCTTATTCCCTGTTCACTCTAGCTAGAGACCAAGATGTAAAAATTCTGCTCCTCAAGCCATTCAGATTGTTGTTGAGTAGGTAATTTTCTTGATAATGTTTTTAAGTGGCAGCCGTGGAATATGTCCCTGTGAAATATACCCACGTGTGTGGGCTAGATGAAGACTCTCATGACTTCTTAGCATAATGTTTTTTTCCTAATTATTTGTTGGAAAAACATGTCAAGAATTGAACGTTAAATTTTTGGTAAAACACTACAGAATCTGGAGTATATAATAAATGGTACCTGATGAGTTGTTTTTTAGCACAGAATAAGAGTAAAATGCAGCATGCTGTCTCAGAAGACAGCACAGATGAATCATAAAAGCATTGTGCGTTTCTTTAGTGAACAGTCAATATTAGAAGACACTAGCAGCTAAATTTTACTGAAATTTGCTGCAAAATGCTTGCCTTTAAGAGGACAAAGAAAGACATAAAGTGTAATCAACACCTTTGCTAATCTTGAGTTAGGTGACTCTGATACAGTGAAAAATTTAAGAGTTTGAATTAAGTGAAGTTAGGGAAATCACTAAGACCTTGCAAGTAATTATCTCCAAGTGCCTCTGTTTAATGGAGTTCTAACATGACATACAGTTCACAAGTTAGGATGTAATAACTAGCATCTCTATCCTTTTTTGACAACCACCCTCCTACTTCCCTTCCCCATAAAGGAGAGCATTGTGTGATAAATGTGAAAGCTGTAACAGCACACAAGGCAAATACCTGTCTGGCTTCCAGAATTAAATGAGGAAAACCCTTGTGCCTATTTGGCAGACTTTTTTGGTACTTTGTGGACAAATCTGGCCAAAAGAAGTGGGAGGAGCAAGTTGTGTTGACATTTTGAGCAATTACATCTTGAAGTTTTGTACTGAGATTTGATGTTTGGAGTCTGCTCCAAGAAAGCACTTTTCACTTTATTACTATTTTTCAGGAGTTTGTGGAGAATAGTAGGAAATCTATGAAAGAAGCTGGCCGGGGAGGTGGAGCTGAGGGCAGAGAGCTAAAACCAATGGTAGGTGCAGATGAGGAGGTGGCGATCCTCCAAGAGTTTCACTTTTACTTCTTCTCCCTCTTTGTCTTTACTGACTGCACTTCTTCAGGAGAAGTTTTTGTTCTCTGTATCACTCAAGATGTTCTGCTTTTTCTGTTTGTGAGCTTGCCTATCACCTGGATGGCAGAGTTTTTGTCACAGCTGAGACCATCTCCTGTAAAAGTAAGATGAAAGGAACTGTGTCATATGAAACAAATGCAGTATCATTTCATTAGGATTAGTATGCATGCTATGTGGTATACACAGACAGACCCAGCTGCTGAGTACTCTTAAAGTAAGATGACTCTAGAATTTATTGGGCTATTCTGACTTTAATCCTATTTTCAGTCCTGAACTGAACAATTTTTGTTCATCTTATGTTCACTGTAAAAGCCTGAAGAGCACTACTGAGCACATCCATTGTTGCAAAGTAGGAGCAGGCATTTAAAGCTCTCACCAAATTATTTTATACAGTGCCAAGGAATTGGTTACAGTGATTCCTTTCAACCTGCTCAAATGACATTTCTCCCAGTTGTTTGTTTTTATTGCCAACTACTTATGTTGCTTGTCTCTCGTGTGCTCTTTCCATCTCACACTGTCAGATACACAGACAGTGAACAATGCATCATTTATGCTTCTGCAGCCTGTTTTACTTATGGTGTGCCTGTTAGGAAGGCCTTGCATGTCTGAGTAGCCTGGAATAAGGAACAGCTATACATGGTACAGATAACAGATAGGAGGATGAGTTTGGAAGGTGGAGAACTGAGAGCGTATGATGGAGACCAAGGCTGGGCAAGGTATGACTTGTCATTGTGCAGTATGACTTTGTGAAATAAAATATTTTTCCATCATTACTTTCTCAGAGTATTTGGGGCCTGATGCAGTTCCTTACCATGGGGACAAATTTTTATCCTAATGGAACCTAAATAAGTGTATGCTAACAGTAGGGTCTTTTTTAACTGATGTATGTGAGGCCATGTTGCATGAGCACTTTTTGACCTAGCTGGAATGGGTTCCTGCTGTAGAATGGATAGATGTATAGCTTTGCGTGTTTTGCTATTTCACTATAGCATACCAGTTTCTAGACTTGCTTATGCCTAAATGCTGCTGTGTTTATACATTTTAAAAAAACTAATTCAATGCTCATTTACTGTTTTCTTCTGGGAGTAATTCTAGCAGTTCAAACAGACACTAATGTTGGGATTTTCAGAGTGGTCTAAACACTGTAAATGTAAAGCTGCTGCTAAAATGACTGAGAATTGGGTTTGCTAACCTTCTAGTCACATGAACAAAAAATCTCAGTCCAAAAATGTATTATGTTAAACTTTAATTCAAACAACTGGTTTACCTTAAGTGGATTTCCACTTACACTCTCGTCAGCGCTAGCACAGACTGCTATTCAGACTTTTTGTACTTGATTGCCTAAAGCTTGGCTGTTAAAACCTTTATTCATCTCCCTGCCTTGTAAAATGGCAAACCAAGTACTTGCAAGTCAAGGCTGGTCTTGTTCTTTTAGGAACTTGACTCTAGGCACTTGAGCCTGGCACTGGCTGAAAGTCCTCCTGGAGAAGGTGGTGAGCACTTGGGGCACAGCCTGAGTGTCACCTGCTGAATTGCTCCCAGTTCTGCTGCTCATGTGGTAACCTTGTTTGGAACTGACTGGGCCTTGTTTTCTCAAGTGGTCTTTCATTTTGGCTTGTTCAGCTCCAGTTGACTAAGTTCTGAAATATTAGGATCTCGCTTCCAGACAAGGACAGGACACAGCAGTTACTGCCGTGAAATTGCTGATATCTTTCCACAAAGCATTGATAAAGGCCTCAGTTACATCCGAAATAGGATCATTCATCAGTCTATTCTGTACTAATAGCGCCTGTAGTCCCAAAATTGGGTGTTTGCAAATTACATTAATTTTTCTCTTTTTCTCCTTCTTTTTTAAAACATAGAGTCTTTAGTGTTTTATTTCAGTCTCCTTGAAATGCGGCTATTTCTTAGACATGACAATTAGTTCTAAAAGTGAAATGCCCTAAATTCAGTGGTATTTTAAATAGGTATTAATAGCAGAGATGAAGAAACATCTGTTCTTGTATCAAGGCACAAGAAAAAAAAACACCTTTTCACACTTCTTTCTTTATGGTTTCCAGTGACCCCCTTTGACTCAGTTTCTCCTTGTCTTTTGGCATTTGTCTAAGACTGTGCTGTATGACTTTGTTTTCTAGGCCTCTGGAGCAAGTTCATCTACAGCAGGTGAGACGATTAAAGACTCAACAGAGAGATTTCACAGCTGTTATATACATATATACATACATATATATATATATATAAATAAACAGCCAAAATCAGAGAAAAGGAACAGGGATTTAATACTTTTTTTAACAATTATTTTTGTGAAACATGTACTCTTTTCATACGGGTGGCTTTTACAAGCAGCTTTATCATTGTTCCATTTTTTAAATTATTCATTGTGGTCATGGAAGAGTTTATTCTTATCTGCTTGATATTTTACAATCTGGAGGAGGTATCGTTGTAAAGATAATCTGAAATGATGTTTGGTTTTAGAGATAGATTTCCCATGACACTGCTAATCTGCTGAGAGTTTTACTTGTTTAGTTTGTTTAAATTTTAATTAAATTCAGGACAGTTACATGTAACGAAAACCTTCAGATCAAGAAAAGTCTCAAATTTAGTTTTTAAAAAGGTGGTTTCAGTGAGAGTTCATTCAGGTCAAGTGGGTTTGTACACAGTCATTTTACTTTACAGCCCTGGTGGGGCACAGTTTTGTTTATCAGTATCAGATATCTCAATAACCAACTCCTCAGGTATTCAGGTGTGTGGGAGCCCTTGCATCTCCTATTAAACAGAAACTAGAAAATGGGGACAGATAATTTTTATATGCAATTAACTTCCTGTTTTACCCTACTTACCCCTCTTGCCCATTGCCCACTATCTTCCCCTTGAGTTCCGTAGCCTCCTTCACACTTCAGCAGTGCTCCTTTGAAGGGTATGGATTCTCCATATGAGCAATTGAAATAACAGATTGTTAAAGCTCAGTCTTAGCCATACTCATGATTAATTCATGACTAGATGTAACGATGCTGAGGATGTGAAGAGAAATGAACTGTACTACCGTACAAAAAAGTACCGTATGCTTCATTTCATTTAATGCCGGAGAGCTTTGGGAGGTGGAAGGGACCATTCCTTGCCTGTTGCTTCATGCATATTTGTGTGTACTGTAGCGGGTGGCTAAAACAGGAAAGGGCAGAGAAACATTTCTCTGGAAGTGTAACTGCCAGGATAGTTATCTAAAGTTATCAAATAACGACAAGAGAACATGCTTTTTTGTTAGTATTCTTAGATATTTAAATTTCTTTTCAGTTTGGAAGTTCACCAGATACGAATGATAATATTCAATTCTTCAGCATATTGTAACGGTAAATGCTTAAAAGTGTATTTGCTAAGAATTCATGATCTGTCTGCGCTATATACTCCTTTTGTTACAATTTTTTTAAGAAAGCTATTTTTGTTAATGTAAAGATAATATTTCAGAGCAGAATTTTTAAACTTATTGCACTAAATATAAGCTCTGTACAAATAAATAATGCCTCAATGGTTCGATCACTCCATTCAAGAAAATCTTTTGAAAGAGAAAAGCCCTTCTATGGAAGCTTTGCAATGGAGTGGAGAGGTATGTCTAAGTGGAGACATGCACAGCTCATGTTATCAAGGTTTAATAAGTAAGCAGTTCTCTCTGCTTCCTTGCAGAGGATCAGGCTTTCAAATTGCTGTCGAAAGTTTAAAAAATATGTAGTATCACGCAGCTAACCAGTGCTCTTACCTTTTGGCAATAGTGAAATATTTCACTTTTGCTTCTAAGAAGTCATTTGATAACTTAAATTTGTTTAGTTTTCTTTCAGCAAGCCAATTAAAAGGATTTACTCTTTCCAAATCACAGAACTAAAACTAGATGAAATGTATGAAAATAAAAATACATTTAGAAATCATAGCTGCTGGGGAGGCAGGGAGACAGGATTATCCAATCCTGCAAGCACTTAGGCACTTGTTTAAGTGAACCATATTGGTAACTTCACAGACACCAGGAGGGCTCTCTGAGTATGGCAGTTGTAAGTTACACATCTGTGTAAGTGCTAACTGGACTAGAGCTTCAACCTAGGGATTCAAACTGGAGCATTGGCAAGGCCTCTCAGTGCAAGCTAGAGTTCAGAAGTCAGTCAGAAGCAGCACTGGAGCTTCAGTTTGTGGAGAGCAGGCATTTCTGCTGTACCAGGTGCTAAGACAGCAAGTGGCACTGAACACTAATAGATCAGTGGGGTGTAGCAACAGAAATTTAAAAACTGGCTCAGATGAATGCTAGAAACTGAATTCCAGGGCTAAGAGACTTAATCACGTACACAGTTGCTTCCAGAGAAATTAATTTCCATCTTGTCTGGAAGTTATTGGAGGTGCTTTGATTGAAGCTTTGGATTCTGCACATTTTGACAACGAATTTCAGCCATGACCAGTTCCACAAAGTTGTGTTCTCTGCTCACTGGAATTCCTGTGTGGGTGCTTTTCTCTGCAATTGCAACTAGGACTGCAGTTGGAAACTAATTTTGTATTTTTTGTATGACTTGACTGTGCACCATTTTTATAGCAGTTTACCCTGTTTTAAAAAGAAATTTGGTTTATTTACATGGTGTTTAAAAGATACAGGCAACACTTTTTTCTATGGGTAGTTGTAATGTTTAAGTGACAAATCTATATCATTATAAAGTTCTTAATAAAATCGTGTGCACCATACTCGAGTGTATATCCGGCATGCAGAGCTTTTCAGTCGTGCCAAAGAGGCATTCCATCCACCCGCAGGCTTTCCAGTGGCCATTTTGAATGTCCTTTGAAGTTCATTTGCAACCAAACGTCAAGCTGTCCTCTTCCAGCTCTGTCTTGTGCAAGGAGATAAGCAGAAGACTGACGACTGAAGAGACAACTTTTCAGGACAAATTTAGACTCCGCTTTCCTTTGCCTAGCGGGGATGGCGGAGTAGGAGAACACCTGACATGTAAATCCCCAGTTGGCAGTAGAGGTGCTGGGGTCTGCCAGATGTGATGGATTAAATTTTTTTTTTTTTTTGCCACCTGGTTATTAAAGCCGGTATATGCATGGCTTTGTGGGAACAGTCTAGACTAACTAGAGAGTGATGCTGCGCTGGGAATAACACTGCAGGAGGAGCAGGTGAGACAACTGAGACAGAGAGATCGTCTCCTTGGAAAGTCCACTGAACCAAGCAGTGCTTGAGGACTGGAGATTCAGGCTGGACAACTGGGGTTTAAAAACCAAGCCAATGGGATTACTTGGGTTCCCAGCATTTGGTTTCTGCAGATGGTCTGCCTCATACCCTCTGATCAGCTAGGTTTTAAAGACAAAAAAGCATGCCATACTTTAAATTGTTTAAATTTTTTTCCACGTCATTTTACCCTGTTCTATTTGGAAGCTGAGCAGCAGTGTGTTGTCTTTTTTGCTTCTTCCAGCCCTAGAGAATTTTTTTTTTATTCTTTTAGCTCTCATTTCTGTATTGCTCTTTCAGCAAAAGAGTGCCAAGTGGCAGAGTGTCAGTTCCCCTTTGTCCCACCGATCTTAGCCCATGCCTTCTCACCTTCCCGAGGCAAAGATTCAGGATATCACATGGACTGACTGGGAGGGGTAGTAGGTGCTGAGCTAAAATTCTGAGGTGGGTTTTTTTGTATGATACAATTCCATTGCTATGCTTGCTGTGGTTAGGAGTGCAGCCCATCGCTTCTACAGTTTCAGTGCTGCTTCACAGCTAGAGTAAACATATGGTATGGCCAGCTTCAAATTGCGTCTTCAGCCTACCGGTAGCTTGTGTTCACACTACCAGCTGCCAAAACCAGGGTTGGGTTTTACATGTAGCCTTAGGTTGGCATGGTAACCCAACGACTTTCTGTATTAGGGGAGTATGTCCTAGAAGGGAAAACTTAAAGTGGAAAACCCACTTACAGGTTGTAGTGGGTTGACGGTGGCTGGCAGGTAAGCCCCTACTCCATTTCTTGCTTGCTTCGCCGAGTAGGATGGCAGAAAGTGTTGGAAAGGCAAAAGCAAGAAAACTCATGCATCAAGATAAAGACAGTTCATTAAGTAAAGCGGAGGGGGAGGGGGAGAAAAAGAAACCCAAGTGATGCAAAGGCAATCACTCACCACCTCCCACCAGCAAGCCAATGCCCAGCCAGCCTCCGAGCAATGGCTACTTTGGAAAACTTCACCCTTCTGCCTCCCTCCCCCCTTCCAATTTTATTGCTAAGCATGACATTATATGGTATGGAATATTTCTTCAGTCTGTTCAGGTCAGCTGTCCTGGCTGTGTGCCCTTCCACAGACTACTCTGCTGGGGCGGCAGAGTGAGAAACAGAAAAGGCCTGTGCAAGCACTGCTCAGCAACAGGTAAAACACTGTTGTGTTACCAACACTGTTTTGGTCACAAATCTAAAACACAGCACCATACAGGCTGCTGTGAAGAAAATTAACTCCATCCCAGCCTAACCTAGTACATAGGTCCACTTACCCAAGAGTTAATCCAAGACTCACTCCCTGCGTTTCTGTACAGCACCTTCTCAGGGTGGTTACTTCTTTCCGAAAGGGCTTTTTCAGCAGCAGGCGATTAGCCTGCTCCACAGTGCTCTCTTTCATGGAGGGAGCAGGGGATGCTAGCTCTTATTCTTTCAGCACAAAATGGGGATATAAAGCAGAAATGAGCCCTTTCTGTATCAGTGTTCTGGCAATTGAGCAGCCAGTGTTGGAGACAACATACTTAATGTGCCCTCAGGGCATGCACTTTAGTGGTTTGCTCTGAGTGGTTATGATGTATTCTATGAATGTATGTTATAGAGTCAGAATAAAATGCATGTAGCAGACATATACTCATCATCACCATCCAGTGATCATTTGGTTCTGAGTGCATATTACACACTGTATTGAACATGGCACTGTCATTTTAAGAAGCACTCTTAAGATTTAAAAGTAGATACCTAAGAACATCCCTGTTTTTTAAACCATGGCTTTGCCTGTGCAGATACTGTTTACTGAATCTAAACATCACAAGTTCATTGTTTCTTGAACAGTTTGTGTGTCACATTATCACCACAGAAATCCTGTTTCATCTTTGTGGAAAAAAACCCTTGTGTTTCCCAAAACAAAACCCAACAGACTTCTTGGAAGCATTTCTTGCACTCAGATTGTTTGTTGGGATGATGGACATTTACTCTAAATATTTCATTTTTAAATGCTCTTTCAACTATTTTGTCTCTGCTGTTATTTCCATCACATCACAAGAGATTATGGAGACTAGTAAATTTGTATTTCTTGTGTTCTGTAGAAAATACTGTTCTCAAGGTATTTTTTTTCTTTTATATTTAGAGAGATGAGAGAAGAGATGAATCTTGTCTCTTGTGATGTGGGTCATGTATAAAAGGCAGAATTTCTGGTCTGGGATGGAGCTGTGATGTGTCTTGCAGTGTTTGCAAGCTGATGCAACCAAGCCAAAGCTCTTCAGAGACATTAGGATTATGAAAATATTTCTAGGGACAATAGGTAGCATGAATCCATCTAAAAATACCCATTTGGAGGCTATACTACCTGGCATTCATTTGACAGAGATCAGTTAAAACAGAACTAGCAGAAAACCAGCAGACGCCATCAGATTCTATTCGCCTGCTCACTGAAGCAGTCAAGTCATGTGTGAATATGATGAGCAGAATTTGGTGGTTTAAGCATCTGGTACTTTTCTGTAGAAACATGGGACTCCCCTTAGAACCAAAGTTGCAAGAATTCAGAGCAGAAGTACCAGTGACTTCAGCAGAACTAGCCTAATTTCAGTAACTTTAAAGACAGCTCTGGCCTCTCTATATATGTGATGGAAGACGCTGGCAGCATAGCTGGCTACCATTCCTTAAAGTGCACCACTGCTCCCCTCTGGCTTGAGTGAAATAGGGGCAGCTAGGAAGTATGTCAGCAAGGTTTTGTGGGATTAGGAAGCAGATTAATTATTCCTGAAACCCCTCAGAAGCTCGGCACTGACTGGAGTTCCACAAAAGTCATGATTTTTAACTCTCAAATATGTACTGCGTGTGCTCCATTTGTTGGTAGTGGTTGGGTCCCTCCCTGCTCAAACTGAAAAGGGAGGATATCTCTCAGTAGGAAAACGGTGCTGCAGTCAATGAGGTGGTGTCTTCTAGGGGAGCACGGGAGGAGAAAGCAGAAGGGTTGTTTGGTTTCTAATGTAGGCCAGAAGGCATCTGCCAGAGGTTAGGTGGAGCCACGGAGAGCAGGATTTCACAGTAGTTAAGAAAATTCACATTCCAATTCACAGACATCTCACAGCAACATCCCCTGTGCCCTGCTTTTATTTTGCTCTGGAGGTCTTCAGAGCAAGAAAGAAGTTGGAATCCTGTACCTATAGAAAGGAATTATTTCTATACGGTGAATTGTGTTGCTGATTATAGCAACTACCCTAAGGAAAAAGGAAAATCTTCTGAACAGATTTTAAAGGCTTGAAAGTACTTGCATTGTCATGGTCCATCAAAGCTTCACCTGGAAACAAAATTTTCATCCTCTTTCACTCATACTCCTAACAGGGCAGTCAACCCCCTGAACTGGTTTAGTGATTTACATTGAATCAAGATCAACTAACAAGTGCTCCTTTTTCCAGTGGAATGCCACCTCCTTTGGGAATGGGAAAAGTAAATGTGACACTGTTTATTGTTGTCTGAGAACTTGAAATGTTTTATACTGCAAGCTGTGAATGCAGGAAGAGAAGGGAAATTAACAGTGCTGATCTAATCTTAGATTTTCTGTGTAAACTGACATTGTGCCAGAATACTGATGCAAAACTGTATTTTAGTCTAAGAAATGTATAAATTTTTTAATGTATCAAAATAAAGTTTTTCTTAATTAAGAAAGATGTTTCTGTGTCTTCCCAGTGGGGTGCTACGCCCTGCTCTTCCTCTTAGGAATACGATCTGACGGCCCTGAAAGGAAGCGGAGTCTATCCAGATCTCTGCTCAAGCTTCGCTTAGCCCTGTGCCTGCTCATTAGCTTAGCTGCAGTAGTGCTGGGCATGCCGCCTCGGCTCTCTCGCTGTCCTGCTGCCAAGAACGGTGTTGTGATGCTTGTGTTTTGTTGAGCTGGGTGGGGTGAATGGGGTTTTGTAGAGCAAAGGTGGTCCCTTATACCGGCAGCTTCGGGGGAATGCGGAGTGGGGAGGGGTGAAGGAAATCCCGTTGCGTATTATGCCAGTTACGCAAACTGCAGGTCCCAGCGCAGCACCTCGTGTGGGGCCACCTCCTTGTTCTCCACGGTCCTGTACCTGCTCCCCCCTCCCAAAGCAGGACCCGCATTGTAAAAAGCCTGAGTAGCTGAAGATGGGTGGTGAATACAAGCAATCGATAACAGCGCCTGTATGATCTTACTAGCAGAGGCATGTGCAATTCCAAAGGTTCCTTGCCTTCTCTCCCTCCCATGGGCACAGCAAATTTCTACTTTCTTTGCTGCCAGTTTTTTACTACACTAATAAGCCAAGCTGAACAATGTTTTCTTGCTTGTATTGCTCTTTATGGCAAACCACCTCAGTACTGCATTTGCGTAAGATAATTTACTTTTATCTGGGAACAATATACTTGGGATGAAAAGGACCAGCCAGCCTACCAGACAGGACCTCTGCCCACAGGCAGGATCCCATGCTGTGGACCCAAGCGTTTTGCTGTGTCTCTCTTAGTGTTCTGCAGTTCCTCTCGAGGTGTGTGTGTACCCGTGGCTCTGAGCGCTTTTTTCATGGTTTGTCAAGGGTGAAGCTGCTTGGATAGATGGGTTTAATTGCGTGGAGCAAAAGAGACTCAGGAGGTGCCCTTCTTCATCAGTAGAGGTGTAAGGGGCAGTAGGCATGTCCCACACAGGTTATGAAAACCTTGTCTCATTTCCTCTGGGTTTTGCCTGTGTCAGAGCTGCAGAACAGGAGCTTGTTGGCTCTCCTCAGCCTTGCCTGGTGAGGGGCTGATGGGGAGAGCAATGGTGTTGCCCCCAGCTCTGAAACAAAAGAGTTTTGTGGCTTCCAGGGTAAAAAATAAAAAAAGGAAGGGGCTAAAGATGAGCCGGGGAGGGCTAGTGAGAGAAGCACATGGAGAGAGAACAGAATGGGACATGGGAATTGGAGTGGAAGGGAAACTGGAGGGCACCGGGGTGGAGTGAGCAAGAAAACCCAGGAAGCTACTGGCGGGTGGGAGAGCTGGGACCTGGAGTCAGAGGACTGACCTGCAAGAGCAGGGTTTGTCCTTCGGCCACACAGCGGCTCCCGCTGCCCCGACCCTGGGCAGGCGGTGAGCACGCGCTTCTGAACGCTAGCCCCCCACCCCTGCTCCCCGAGC